AGTCCTCTCGGGTTCGTGGCTTGGCTTGCTACTCTGGCGGGCTGGGCCAGGTATGGCCTCGGGTTACTGTTCACGCGTAAAGGCTTTCACATCTTAAGAAAATGCAACAACAACAAAGAACAGCGCTCACTCTTCTTCTCGTTCACGTTCGACGTTGCAACTCTTTGAACCTTTCCAGCTGCTTGAGTGTTTTTCTTCTCTCTTTCTCGTTTTCAAAATACTCAAGGAAGCTAAAAAAATCTTGCTGCAGTAAAGAGGAACTTCCTAGCCCACTATATTTGCCACGTGGGGTCCAGAGGAGCAACTTCCCTAGTATTTATGCAATTGAGCTCGTAGCTGTTGACGCTGTAGCGTTCGCGCTGTTGTATGTCCTTTCCTATTACAATGCAGAGCAATTATGATGAGGGCTGATTAGATTGATAAAGTTGTACTAGAAGAGAACAATATGATCAATACTCCACCTCCACTTCCTCTACTCGTTTACATCTACTAGCAGAGATCGAGATGGACAAATAGTGCTGCTGATCCCCCGATAAACACTCCGGCCCAGATCAAGAGGACAACAGCGAGCAAGACATAATCCCACATCGAATCCTCCCTCAGCGTCGCCTTATTAGATCCTCCCTCTGATGGTCCCTAGTGCGCAAATTTGGCACAATTTGGCCAGAAATTTGGATGAGAGTCCGTCTCGTTATATTTTCCGTCACCCCAGTGGCTCTGGGTTTTTAATAAATGAATCGCAACAGGCATCGCAAGGGGGCCGGGCGGAAGCGAAGCTGCAAGAGCAAGTTGGAACAGGCAAGCGGGAAAAGAAAAGTGGAACTCCTCGGACAATTCTGCGAGCGACGAGCCTTAGATCCTAGCCAACTAAGACCGAAAGCCTCGACATTGGAGCACAGGCTTACAACCTCAAGCGGCGCTCTGTCATCAGAAATTTTTGCGCATTTTGCATTTTTCGCAAAATTTCTAGCCAAATTGTGCCGAGTTTTCGGGTATCTATGGACTCAATCGCCCCATCCGTATGCTGAAGATCCACGAGGACCTGCAGAGTGCTGCTCTCGCCTGCTTCTACTTGTGTGGCTGACAGCGCGGAGGACGTCGTAATGAGTGAAGAAGTGGCCTGGCCGCGATACTAAGTGCCTGCGCCATTTTGAAAGAACAGACGCGCAAGACGGTCACAAACGCCCGCCACCCCGCAATGCTCACAACAAGAATTGTTAGAAATAGATGGCGGAAGGCCTACGATTGAAGACGTTCGCACATTTACAGCGTACTAGAATCCAAAGCCATTGAACAAGTTACAAAATCATAGTCCTAAGAGCTTCCATCTGAATCTTTCACCTTCTACTTACTGCTGCTCTCCGTCTCCGCCTGTAAATGTGTTGACTAGATGATACTCGCGACGAGATCAGCCGTAAAAGAACTAGCGCTGCTCCCATCCTCACTCAGTCACCGCAGAATTGGCCAGATGTGGCGTCTGCGCTTTCGTGTCTTCCTGGATGGCCATTTCCGTTTTTGAAAGGCCCATCGCCGTTGCTTCATCGTGCTACTTAGAAGAGTGAGGGTCTAGCACTGGTTTGCCTCGCGCTCGCTCCAAAGAATCTATTAGATGATGGAGGAGGTACTGAATGGATTACGAAAGCACACGACTAGAAGGACTGGGTGGCCATGTTGTTGCTGAGTTGTTCTTCCCTCTGTGTTTCAGTTGGTGCGGTGGCGTAGCCCCTGCTAACTCATCACGCCTAGAAGAAGTTTCTGCTGTTGTTGCCCGAAGCTTCTTCTGCAGTAGTATGAAGGTAAGAAAAAGATACACAAGTAGTCGCTGAAGCAGTAGGTAGATGCTTTATCTATTGAGAGTGAGGATTTGAACTACTTACCACGATGAAGAGCCCCACTGACTCAACAACAGTGAGAGAAATTGCGATCAGCGCCAACGCCATATTAACTCCCCCGACTTTTGTTGTTCCTCGTTCTCCTTCATTGGAGTCATTCAAGGCTCCATCGGTGAGCCTGGCATAGATGCGACGAGAGTCAGCCGCCCCCGTAGAAAGAAACAGCACAGCACAGCAACGGCTTCGCTGTTCGTCAGCACCGAGACCACGTTAGAAGAGCTCAACCTCTCCAACTGCTGGGCAGGGGATTTCGGGGAGATCATCTTCTTAGGGCTGGTGAGTATACGTTTCAAGATGGTGTTTCTTGTTACTGAGTACTACTAACTTTAATAGCTACAAGATCGATAAAGTATATATAAACATTCTGCTTCTGGAGCGATATGCTGTGAATTAAAAGTAGATGAAAATTCTAATTCTTATTCTTAAGCACGTCCTCGCTCCCGCCTCTTTCCTGCTTCGCGACCTGCATTTTGTCCAGCGTCGCGACTTGATGCATTCTGTCCTGCTTCACGCCCTGCATCTTGTTTTTGTCCTGCTTCACGACCTGTATTCTGTCCTGCTCTACGACAGAACACGAAGATTTCTTGTTGTAACAACCTCATCAGGATCTCCTGATCATGTTAACAGAATGATCTCCTGATCATGATAGTGTTGTTGGAGCAGGCACTAGAAAAAACAACAACCGAAAAAAGAAAGCGAAAGGTCAGTAGCAGTATACCCAGTCGCGGGGTATAAATCTTCACCTTCATCATGATAACTGACGTTGTAGGTACATATCCTTTGTAAACTTCTCCACGGTACATCTCCTTATTTGTACAGCACCCTATGTATTCCTAGTAGACATGATGATCAATCACAATCACTGGTTCATTTGACGATAATGCTCCTCCGTAGGAGTAGGACGGATCTATTTACAAGTAGTGACAAAGCTCATGGGGTTGACCTCAGGCTGGAGGGAATATTCATTCATCCTCATGTTCTTATCATCAAAATCCGCATAGAGTTTGTTCTACTTCTCGTTACAGAGTCCTGATTGAAGATCACCCGATGGTTCCTAAATGAACAGTGACCGTCACGCGACCCCTTCACCACATCCGTGCTGTCAGGCTATCTCTCTACTGCGCGCGACCTCCTCACCTCATCTGTGCCGCCAGGCTATCTTGTTCCCGAGTAAAAGTAGATACTCACCGTCTCTCCGTCGGGTTAAGTTTTTAGGTATCGTTCACACCGAGTCCGACCCGATTACCTTCAACTTCTTGATGATGTGAATCGATTCGGCAATTTGCCTAACAAGATTTCCGTGACGACTCCTTAACAGAGTTGAACAAATTCAAGGTGGCTCGCCAGAGTTTTATGTTGACTTCAAGCTAAACCGATGGTCCTCAGATCAATTTTTTCTCAAGACTGCTGATGCAACTACTTCTCCTGAACACTCAAAGTCAAAACTCAAAAAAGAAAAACATCTCTGCTCCATAGGATGATAACGTTATTAACGACATTATACAAACATATACTTAGTCAAAAATATGATACAACATGTTGATGCTGTTGTTAGGATCTGCCTGGTCTGCCCATCCTTCTCCCAATATTCTGTGGCGGAAGGAGCGCGAACTAGGAAAAACGCAAAATAATCACGGAAGATATAGAAAAGGCAAACCCACGCGATGCCGTCTAATATTCTTCTGCTAACACTAATAACAATGATGCTGGTATTAGGTTGCTGCGGTCCAATTCTAGTCGATCATGTCATAGAAGCACTAGCTATAGCTTGTCGCGTTATTTAATTAAGTATGCTCAATCTGTACTTATAATATTATAAGATCTTATCACGGTGGTCTTGATTTCCTGATATTTCCGTGTGGATGGACAAGAGCGAACTACATCTTCTAAGGGCACCTTTTACACACTACAAGGGGCGAGTGAATGAATTTGATGACGCAACATTTGCCAGCGTCAGCGTTGTTTGAGTGATAAAATTGAAGCCATTTCTTAAATGGAGTATGAGATAGATTGTAGGTTTTTCAACTTTACTTTCCTTGCTAATAGAAGAATGAACTAAGCTTAAGCGCACACGCTGAAAGAGAAGGGGGAGGATGGTGCTGATTGTTGTTGGACCACAAGAACACAGGCCTCCGCGCCAGGTTCGTTTCTCAGTGGAGACACAAACAAAGTCGGAATCTTGAAAGCAAGCAAGTCTTGATATGCCTGCCTGTGACTTATGGCCACTGGCTGGCGTAGTCCCTGTTTGGTTCATTGGGTAAGATGAACCACACATCATCACCATAAGCATGTCAGAAGGGATCGGACTGAACATGCATCATACGACTAGGATCAGGATAACCATGCCTAGTCTATCCATTGATCATTATGATTGAGCACTGGAAGTAGCATCCATGACCCTTGACATTCATGCCTTGCGAGATCATCCCGATGACAGTCGAACGCAAGGCTTGGCGTGAGCCACTGAGAACAGAACAACACGACATCCGAGAGGCTTGCGCCATACATGACCAACGCCCCTCCTCAATCGATGCGGGTCGGAGTCTGTCTCACGTGACAGCCTCGCTGTGTATCAAGTCACGGCAATCATATCCCTTGACTAGTGTTGAGCTTAACCCTAACTCAGCTCCGCTATTCTAGAAACCAAAGTAAACCGAATATACTACGCTATAGGAAGCTAAATCATCCCCATGCATCTGTTTCATCATCAGAGGAATCACAATCATCGTCGCTACTCTTAGTTATCGGGTTATCTACGTGGTGTAGTAGAAGTCTACGCTGAGTGGCCCTGCAGGTTAGTTTCGAAAGTGGGTCTGCCTTCATCAAGTTGGTAGGACAGAGCACGATCTTACTAGCAGCATCGCGCGCTCTTAGGTAACGTAGAGCATAGCGTCTACTTTTAGGGCGAGCGCCTGTTGCTTTGGCTGTTGTGGTTGCAGGCTGGTTGTCTATCCACAGCGCCGCACTGTCTAAAGAGGGTGGCAAGCCGCTCTGTGTGTGTACCAACTGAGTTGGAAGAGGCCTATAGAAGTCTGTAAAGTCATGCATCTCACTGAGCACTATCGTGCCAGAGGCTGCAATATACTCACTTTCGGCCGTAGAGTAGGCCCTAACAGTTTGTCTGTTACTCCTCCACGCTATTGGTGTACCTTTATAGTACATTATGGATCCACTTGCGCTCCTCATAGTCTTGACGCAGTTGGCGAAACCAACATCACTGAATATGTTCACTTCTGGCATGTCTCTGCCTTCTGGTAGAAGATTCTCATATATCTTGCTGAGTTCTTCTTCGTTTTCTGGTGAGTATTCTACCCCTTGATCTTTTGTTGATACCAGATATTTCGCGACTTTCTTGGCTGCTTTGGCCATTCTTGTTGACGTGGGTTTACTGACATGCCTAGCCAACGCTGCTACCGGTGCAGAGATGTCCGGGCGCGCGGTTACAGCTACCCATAGTAAGGCACCAACTGCCTCACGAAAGGGATACCCATCAACTATCTTGGTCCCGTCTTCAAGAAAAGCTGTTTCGTCAAAATTGGGCGAGTAAACCGGTTTCCCTAGTTGAGCTTCGTACTTCTTAGCAATTTTATCGATGTACTGCTCCACGCACAGTCTGAACGACTTAGCTTCACGGCCATAGTACACGATCGCACCTAAGAAGTCGAACTTTAGCCATTCGTGACCCCACGGGGTTGGAACTGACTCGACTGGACACCAATCGCACGGCCTGGAGCACGTGAGAAAATGAGGCCTACTTCGGTCTTGGGCTCATCTTGGTCAGGACCTGTAGCAAGATTGTCATCTACGTAGACTGACATCTTCAGGAACTTCCCCGGTGCTTTGCCGCTCGGTTTGCGCCACAATCCAGGCGCAGAGGTACACGGTTCCCAACCAAGACTGGCTAGAGTCTCGCGATACTTCTTGAACCATGCTCGTGGTGCATCCTTCAAGCCGTATGGCGCTTTCTTGAGCTTCACGGTCTCGCATCCGTGCTGCTTCGCCCAGATGGGTGGAAGACGGCAGTAGGCATCTCGATCGAGTCCAGCACTGAGGACCGCTGAATCTAAATCGAACGGGGTCACATAGTCCCCTTCTGACGCAGCAGAAGTGAGGAGCAACCTATTAGCAGCATGCGATACCACGGGGGCAAAGGTGTTTAGCTCTCCTGAACGATCTAAATTACCGAGTGCGCGGGCTCTTGCCTTGTATTTTCCACATCTCTTTCTTGTCAATGAATATGATTGCAATGGGTAGAGCCTGTAACGCGGTTGATAGCTGCTCGCCAGTAGCTTCTTCCCACGTTTTAAAGGCTAGTAGTCTCGCGTGCTCAATGTCTATTACATCCTTCCACTTTTCAGCTTCAGGGCTCTCCAATGCATTGGCAACGGACAATATCACACGTGACTCGGCGACTTCCTCATCTTCGTCTATCTCACACGTGCCACCAAGAGCACTTGCGAACAGCGCCAGGCTCTCATCTCTCGTAGTTCTTCCATTTGTTTCTTTGTTCTACGCGTCCTTCCTCCAGCCTTATCCTTGGCTCCTTTCGGTCGACCACGCTTCTTGCCGTGTGTATGGCGTTCGCCTGCCACAACACGCGCGGGGGATAGTGCTTTCGATCTAATCGGACGAGGCGGGTCAGAGATTCGATCCGTCGCCTCAGCTTTCCCCTCCTCAAGTGCAGCACCTTTAGGAGAGTCAGCCACGTCGGATTCTACCTTCTTGTCTAAGGTTTCAGCATACAGCTCTTCGGGAATGCCGGTCGGTCCACCTGAGGCGCGCTCCGTGCCAGAGAACCCCGAACGATTGCTGATCCAGCCTTTGCACTGACTGCCCAATCAAGGGGGAGCCCAGCGACGACGCCCCACACTGCAGGTTTTCCAGTTCATCGCACTCATAGTAGAAGCCCTTTTTCTCTGGCATTAGCCAGTCTATGTCCTTTATTAGGTAGTCCTCTCTGCCGTTGACATCTAGGGTAGAGCATTTCGCCCATCGATGTCCAAGCTTGCAACGATCGCCATGGGCGAAAGTAGCAACCAACCAACCAGACGACTCCAGACAGAGTCCAAGGAAGACGCCGCGGCGATATTTGGCCGAGCGCTTGGGCTCAGGAGTGTTGGCTTGGATTTGTTCACGAAAGTAAACAAGACAACCAAATCGGCGGAGCATGCCGGTTTTGCTTTTGGAGGCATTTCGGCCAGTTCTTTCTTCTAGAATCTCTACTGGACTCCTTCCATCGTGTTCTGGCATTTTTGCGCAATTATGCGGAAGACGATCCCAGCAGTCACTAGCGTACTCTACACAGTAACACCAAAGACGTCGGCCAACCTTCGTTAGCATTGTTCTCACACTGCCAAACAAGGCCCGCGTAAAACGTTCAACAGCCCCACCCATTTCCGGACTATAAGGAACAGCCAGACTGTCTGAGACCCGCAGCGATTGCATGAGTTTGGTCATGTCATCACTACCGACGACAGGTTCTCCATCCCTCCAGATGAACCATAACGCCTTGTCAGCTAGCGATGAGGAGTAGTCCTGTCGAATGCCTTTTATGACTTGTTCTATTTCCTCCACGCCGTCACTTTTGAGCCTCAGCGGTCGACAAAGCGCCTTCTTAATTACGTCACACATGGCGACCAGAACGCATCTCATTGATCTAACTGAGACAGGTTCTATCCCTACAGCGAAGTCTATTGCAAGTAGTTTGAGGGGTTCGGGTTTGTGGGTGGTCATGTCTCTAGATTTTGCATGGGATTTTCGTTGTCCTTTATGTAGGTCACATTCAAGGCAGCTAACTTGTAAGCCGTCTACGTGAAAGCGTCCACGTCTTCTGTGTAGTTCTAATCTCGTAAGATAGCAACTAGAGACGCCTCCTTCGATTGTTGTACAAATCATCAAGGAAACTACACGCAAGTACGGGTAGCTGCAAGCGTGGGTGAGCTCTGATGGGTAGCATCTGGCCGGTGTGGGTGTCCGTGTGCACGATACAACCACCAGGGCCTTTGAAACTGAATCCCCACCCCAATTCAATTGCGAGCAGTTGCCGTCTCCTAACCATGCATGGCAATGCGCGATCTATGTTTCCAGGTGGGGAATCGTAGTAAGCTCCCTTCTTTAGTCCAAGTATGTTGCTCTTGAGTTTTCCTATTCTTCCGTCTTTAGTGCCTGCGCTACCTGTTATTCTACAAATGTTGTTACCAATTTCATCGAAATCGTCTCTGTGTCGTGAAAGATATCTGTTTGCACAGCTATCAACTAAAGTCGCATCTTCTGACGTTCTAGTATTCATGTTTGTGAAACTATATCCATCTGTATTGTAGCTATCAGCATGATTATCAACAGAACATTTGTCAGTCTTTCATCTTCTTCGAAATTCAGCGAACACTTCCCAGCTTCGTGCGGATCCTTCGCTCAGCCTTGCTTGTGCGAGTTCATGACGTTGAACAGCTCCGCAACCTGCGACATGTGGATCGTGCCACTTTGGTTACCCTTTCCACCTTTGCCTTTAGTACTACTAGAAGGGGCTCCGGTAGTCCGACTTCCCTGCCCCTGTTGAAGGGCTTGTGTGTTATGCCAGCACTCGGAGGACTTGTGTCCGACCTTGTGGCAGCAAGCACAGCGGGGCGGATAGGTATTTTTATTTCCTCTTCCTTTATCTTTCTTCCGCTTTTGTCCGCCGTTCTTCCCTCCTTTGGGTTGGTACCCGTCAGAGTTGTAGACCTCGGCGATTGCCGTCTTCTTTTCTTTCTGCTTGAAACGCTTGAGGGCGTTAGCGGAAATGAAGGTCTTACCATCTGCCTTATTGGCCTCTACCTCGTCACCATCCTCAGCCTCATTCTTATCATCACGAGGACGCTTGTTCGAGGTTTCCTGAACATTGACCGGAAACGCTTTCCCGACGGAATCGCTCTCAATTTTGTAGGTTCCCTCCTCGATCAACGTCGTGAGACGTTTCTCAAGTCGGTCTCCAATTTGGTCAAATGTCAGATCGTCTTCTTCTTGCATCCGCTCGATCGTCGCCTTGAAGTTCTTGCAGAACAACTCGGGCAACTTCTGCAGGATCGCTCCGCTCTGTTGATCAGCTTCGGGCAGATCTGCACCCGGCGGGAAGACGGTGGGCGACTGGTTCATGATGTCGCGGATCTTTGACAGAAACTCCTTGACGTCAGCAGTCTGGTCGCTGTTGTGGAGCTTTTACTTCGTCAGTCCCTCCGACAACGGCTGGACCTTCATGCGCTGCTCCTGGCGATTGTTCGCGTTGAAGTTCCCTTGATCACGAAGTAGAGCAACAACTTCACCAGCATCCATTTCGTCCACCGCGCCATCGTTATTCCGATTGTCGACGAACGACTTGGCCGCACCTTTCAGACTACGAGTGATTGCGTCTTTCAGGTTGCGCCACTTCTGGCGGATCGCGTCTTCGCGACTGGTATTGCCTTGCGGTGCACCATGTGGAGCGGCCGGCACGTTGACTACATTCGTGTAGTTTTCAAGTAAGCCTAGGCGACTAGCTTCTTGACGTGCAGCACGCTCCCACTCGCGCCAGTCGGATTTCTGTCCCAACTTCTTGAAGATCTCCTTGGCCTCGCAGGGCATTTTGATGGCTTTATTTATTTTACTACACTACTTCCAATCTATTGTTACTTTTGCCGCTCAAGGGTTAGGCCAGTGCTGGACCACAAGAGCACAGGCCTCCGCGCCAGGTCCTTTTCTCAGTGGAGACACAAAGTCGGAATCTTGAAAGCAGGCAAGTCTTGATATGCCTGCCTGTGGCTTATGATCACTGGCTGGCGTAGTCCCTGTTTGGTTCATTGGGTAAGATGAGCCACACATCATCAGCATAAGCATGTCAGAAGGGATCGGACTCAACACGCATCATACGACTAGGATCAGGATAACCATACCCAGTCTATCCATTGATCATTATGATTGAGCACTGGGTGCAGCGTTCGTGATCCTTGACATTCATGCCTTACGAGATGACCCCGATGACAGTCGGGCATAAGGCTTGGCGTGAGCCACTGAGAACAGAACAGCACGACATCCGAGAGGCTTGGGCCATACATGGCCAACAGTTGTCAATACTTCATTTAGCCGACTAGTAATTGAGGGATGTGGTGGTCAGGGCTCTGGGCCATAAGCACCACTTGCAGCCCAGAGCTCCCAGCACGAGGAGACAAAGTGCCAACCTAAGAGTCCGCACAAAGTGCCATGATTTCTTAAAATTACGCTCTGAGTCTGATCTATCTGTAGGGACCATGGGTCTTGTGACTTACAATACTGGGCACCACCGTGATGGAGATCCCCCCCAGTTTCCGCCTCTTAAGATCAAGAGCAACGCCACCACTAAGATCAAGAAGAGCAAGGAGGCCACCACTAGGGTGATCAGGATAAAGAAGGTCCGTCAACACGATCCGGGTCACATCGTGAAGAAGGTCAACCGAATAGCACCGCCCCGGAGATAGGCCAAGAGTGAGAAAGTTCAGGATGTGCATGCGCAAGTAGCTAGGTACCCAGTAAGCAAGAAGACAAGCACCAACAACAAAAGCCACGAGCACGACGTAGCCTATCTGCGTGCAAGTTATGTAGAGTGCCAGGTCAGTCCCCCATGGATGTTCACAGTCGTCAAGATTCTAGCGCGGTTTGGCGTTGCGTCTTGTCTGTGTTCACACTGGGTAGGCTATTGGCCCAGCACTACCTTCTTCATTATAACTCACGACATTGATTCATACTTTTTGCCTACGTATCGCATGAAGCTGAGGCGGGCCATTAAAATGCCTGCGAGTGCAACTGTTAGAACACTGAAAACCTAGAAACCTAGACCCGCAGCGGCGCCAAGTGAGAAACAGCACGACCGTCCCCCTTGCTATACCTGCGAAGGCTGGAGCGAGTCCGTTCACCTTGATGATTCTCACGCAGTTCCGCAGCGTTTTCGTTCATGCCTATGCAATGGCTACCAAGCTACTTGCTACGCTAAGGGCCTCCGTGCTGATGATCTCGACCCCGAAAGTATTCCACCCCCATGGTGATCACCCTAGTGGTGATCCCCTCACTGTGACCATGTTGGTCTCCCTACTGGTGTGATTTTAGATCTATCGCTCAATAAAAGTAAATATTTCTTCAGCTCATTCACGTCCTGTCCCGGTCTTTGGTCCTTTTAGATATTGCGCGAGCTATTCTTTGTTGTTCCCCAAGTGAGGGAGGAACACATCATCCAATTTTGAATGAGACTCGTGTGGATCATGTTTTTGAACATGACCCAAGTAGGGACATGGTTCGCGTTCCAGTGAGTAAATTGCATTGTGAAGTAAGTGGCCGACATGTCGACAGCTTCAAGGGCTGACAGCGAACGGCTATGACGTGAAGAGCGTAAGAGGAGAATTGAAGTTTTTTGATGAGTGAACTCAATCAAACAACGCTTCGACTTCATTGGCGTGGTTGATGAGAGTTGAAAGGTCAGCGTCTTTTGAGACGCCAAATAAGTGAGAGCCTTTAAGCATGAGTAGTGATGGAAGTATGGCCATCACGTCTTCAGTCAGATCCGCAACTTGGTCAAAGAAGTTCGGGAAAAATGTTTGAACAAAGTCTAAAAATTGTGGTCTGGTGGGGATGTCTGCAGGGTTGAACCCAGTCGGCACACGATCGACCCACGGAGTAGCGCAAATCTGTGCGGCTGCACTCCAAAAGAAAAGCGCACCTGTGGCCATTTCAGGCACAGGGGAATTTTGGTTCAGTAATGCGTCTCTGGCTGCATCGTTATCGACCGAAAGACTGAAATGTCGGCCAGCTAATTCTTTCTTGAGTTGTAGAACCGCAAGTACTGCGGTGATGAGTTCGAGAAAGTTAGTCGGATTCTCGCGCTTGGTGGTGATGATCTGCTCCTTCTTCACCTTGGCGCGATACGCGAATAAGCACCCACGCAAGCAAATGACGATGCAAATCCAAACTATGTTGTGCGAAAAAGCGGCAACGGCATCCGTGTACACCATAAGATTGTCGCTGGTTGGATCTTCAAACCGCGCGCGCTTGCGGATGTCTTGCTGCAAGATGTTGGCGATGTTGTGTAAGCAACAACGAAGAGGGTCAGCGAGCGAATCGGCGGTAACCTCGAAACTCACGTAGTTGCTGAGTGGTTTTAGCACTGGATTGCACATGCGGTCAACCAAGGATGACAAGCAAAACATGACCTTTCCGCGAAGTTCTTCAGCGGTGCGCATGGGGAGACGCTTCTCCTTTAATGCTGTCCAAATCATCGCGCAAATGGAGTTTTTTCTCGGCAGCGAAGTGAGGAGCTCTGGGGTGTCTGCTGCAACATCAAACATGGGACCAAGTATTTCGAGCACCTTGCCAATGTTCACCTTGTTGCTGTGAACTGGTAGACCAATGGCGCGAATCAAGTCAAGTGGAGTACGCAGTCGACAGTCTCCGGACCGACGCAGTCTGGTGTTGCACAGGGAAAATCGTCAACGTAGACGAAAATGAGAGCCCCAACGAAGTGCCGTACTAGATGTTTGACGGCGTCGCTTCTAATGCGGCACCATGCGACAACGCTGCGAAGGTTCCCGAAGATGAGAACAAGTGCTTGGGAAAAGTAGTATGCCGGTGGTGCGGCGTCTGGGTTGAATGCGGCGTAGCGGTTGCACTTTCTGCGACTGGGTCTTATGCAGTTGGTGTCGCATGCCTTATGGATGTCAATGCAGAAGAGTACTATTTGCAAGAAGCATGCTGAGTCAACTTTTCTCCTCTTGAAGAAATTGTCGACTTCGGGCTTGGGCTTGAGCGGCGAACTCGCAGCCTTCTTCTTGTGTGATTCAGACCTAGAACGAGCCTCCCTGACAAAAGAACAAGAAGAAGAAGCGACCGAGCCGCCGCTAGCCTGAGCAGAAGTGAGTTTGTGGCTGCTACTCAAGTACTCGCCTGTAGGTTTTGATAGTTCTTCTTCGTCGCTAGAATTGTCGGACGCGTACAAGTGCGGCGCGCACCTAGTTGTGGAGACGCGGCGAGTGTATCAAAACGTCTGACAACCATGATACCGCTTTGCCGGTTTTAGTAGTTCAGGCGGCACTGGCACGCCGTGATGTACGAAGTCAAGAAAAGCTTTTTCAGATTTCTTTTCAAGTGATCGCCCTTGTTTGACTACTCGCCTACTCATGTGCACCACGTTCTTGCCCCGAAGCATGGGGTTCTTCATCGCCGTGGCGCAGGCAAGCACCTCACCAGCGGACGCCATCGGTGCACTCCTCTCTAGGGTGGGCCGTTCGTTGCATGCGCAAGCGGGGCCAATCATCCTGACCTTTGTTTTTTGTTGCGCGCCGTATCTGCGGAGCACGTAACTCCAACCCTGGGCTTTGGCAGCTTCAAACGAAGTTGGTTTTTCGCATCGCTCGTGCCTCAGAAGCTCTCCCACCTTGGTCTCGTCCATTGATTGCCTCCAAATTTCGCTAATTTCGACTGGAGGCCAGTCGTCAGGTGGTTTGCAGCCGGGACCGAACTTGTCCAAGTTTTTCGGCATAGGAGCGCCCGTTGTCTTTGGACGTCGTCTGACATGCGAAGGCCAATGTTCCGGCGCATTGGTGAATCCAATGCAAGTAGCGCCATCTCACAGAACTTCGAAATAACTGGAGTCAGGAAAAGCGGAAATCTTGCAAGCCGTGCGGAAAAAACCAATGTGGTACCTTCGATGAAATCGCAATACTTCGCTGTGCGTCTTGGCCTTGATTTCATCGCCCAACGCAACCGACGCTGCTGCAATGGCAGCGATGTTCATGTTGTGCTTTAATATGGAGGCGGCGGCTCTGGTGGACGTAAAGTCGGAACGTAAAAGCCCAGGCTCAACTTCCCTGAAAGGAGAGCGCTTTCGTAGATCCACTTCTATTCGCGCGCCCATCTCGAGTAGTTTCTTCTCGTATTCTTCGTGCTTCGCTGGTGGTAAGTGCACCGCATCAGTGTGCGCGTTCGTTGGAGGTGGACGAGTTGTCTCTCGGCATGCTGTGGTAATGATACCGCGGCGCCGCGTGGGACCGTAGTTGAGGGACGGCGACGCACTCTCGAAGTAAAGGCAACCAGCAGGAAATTAGTAGCGACGACGCGTGTACTAAGCATATCACTCTGTCTGATGTGCCATCTGGCTACTTCTACGTCTGTTCTGAACAGGTGGCACTGGAATTCAGTGTAAGTAAAAACGAATTAGCACGCTCGAATTTGTTTCCCCTCTTGGTCGTCATGGTCAAGTAAAGTGTCTTGCTGAGTTACGCCCACTGCCCTCTGCTCCTCCTTCTGTCTCACTCTCCTGCAATCGGTTGCAGCACCAAAGAATCCACTAACTGAAAAAATGGCTCACGCAGGTGCCTTGCTGTCGTTGGTAACTCGACCAATCCGCGCTGTTTCATTATTCGTATGTGATGGAGGTGCGCAGCATCTGTGTGGTGCATGAAGTATGGAAAAAGATTTTTATTCGGTTGTCAAACAGCACATGAAGAGAGTAGAAACTTACGGAGAAGCCACGACGATGAAAAAGACTGCAAGCATTGTTATGTGAGAGGACTGCGCCGTGATAATGTGGCAAGGTGCCCGATTGTGATTAGGTATGAGAAAAAGAGCATAACAGTGCTGATTCGTGAAATTACTGCAGTGATAGATCTAAGTGGCTAACATTGACAATATGGAAACGAGTTTTCCGCTGTGGTGGAAGCTATTCACTGACGTCTGTACACGAGTTATTCAAAAACCTAGAAGCCTTACCTGGAATGAAATGAGACGCAGTTGTCCTGATCCCAGTACTGTGGGATGTATTTAAATGCTGTGCCCTGCATCATTGGCATTGGGCTTAAATGATTTCTGAACTTTTGCGAAATGAGTCTTAAATTTGTAAACGAAACTGCTATCAATTGGGCGAGCTTTATGAAAAGAATGCGCTGAAATTGTTGCCCTCGGAGAAGCGTGCTCTTCGTCCGACATCGTCGGCATTGGCACGGAAATTAAATCTAACTAGCAAATAGTTCTTGTTTGAGTAATGAAGTGAATGCTTTTGGGCATGAGAGTGAAACTGTGACCAATGACATGATGAGTACAATTGAAGTGCATTGCAAAAAAATTTTTGAAGTATCTCTAGGGCGAGATACACGAGTTGGCTCTTGAAGTTGGCTTGAAATGACCAAAAAAACTTTTTGACGAAATAGGACGCAATGAAAATGAAATAAATTCCGTATTTTTTGTGAACTGAATTTTTACAAAATGTTTTTTGGATGTCCTAATAACTTACTTATTTTGGACAACGAAGAGAACAAGTAAATCGCTTGAAGTTGCCAGGCGGCAACGGAGTCATGGAGAACTCTTCAGTACTCACCATCCTCGTCATACTCGTCCTCTTCCTCCTCCTCTTCTACGATGGCTTGCTTACCCTTGCCTTTCTTGCCAGCCTTACCCTTACCTTTGCCGTTGCCTTTCCCTTTCTTGCCCTTGCCTTTGGTGGATGTTCGTGGTTTTTTGCTCAACCATGGCTCGAACTCGCAATCGGCGAGCGGAATGCGGCCACCAGGCGAGTAGCGTACTTGATTGCATTCGTGGATGGTGATGTCTCCCTTGCCAGGATGCATGCCCTTGACGCAACGCGTGTGACCATA